CTTGTAATCAAGGCGTTTTCTCTCATTCTTGTAATCTCCTTGTGTAAGAACATTTTGAAGAATAAAATTTTCTTATATCTTTGAATATTTAAATATGCTTTGATCAAATATCAAATGTGGGTGCTCTGAGCTATTAGTGAACCTTTGCATCAAGTTAATGTGAACAAAGGAATGATAATGGCAATGGTTTTATGAATATGGCTGGTTCTTGAACCTCTTGCTATGTTACAACATGTAAAACCAACATGAAACCAATCTCTTTCACCTTGTGCTTCATGGAACAATGTATTCAAGACTTCAATTTATTGTTTCTTAAGGGCCTTTTTCTTTCGATCTGTGGTAAACTACAGTGCTGGGGAGGAAAACTGCGGTGTGACGCCCTCGGCAATTCTTGTAACCCTTTTTTTTCTGCTGCCACTCTTCTATTATACTCATCCTAACCGCGGTGATAGGCCTCATTGGCGACCTTTTAATGATATTGTGCGTTGTATATTAAAAGTTCTTGGATTGCAAGGTATAGTATTTTCTACAGAGAATATGAACGCTGGTGCTTGCTAAAAAAATGCTGCTATTTGAAATTTTTGAGTGTCAAGTCCTCTTGGGAACGGCCTCGGAGAAGCTTAGTATATCCCACAATGAATCTGTCAAAATATGGTAAGGTTAAAGAAAGTCTTTGACAACAATGGTTGTTTTGTTTATTAGTTAATTGAGAAAATGTGCTCCCTTTATAACTATTTTCATCTGCAGTTTATGAACCTTGTTAAAAGTCTTTGGTGAACTTACCCGGCGAGAAGGATGGCTACAGATAAGAACCTCAAGAAGTGTTGATAACATTTGTGCTTAGATTTCTTGTGTTTCACAATAAATCCAGGAGGAATGCATTTGGAGCTTACGTAACCGTATTGCGGTCGAAGAAGAAGGACGAACCCGAGGAAGAAACCGGCTAGGAATCCGCCACCATGAGCAGAGTCGTCCACATGTGGTAAGAATCCAACGGTTACATTCAGTAAAGTGATCAGAATCAATGTCATGAGTGATGTGCACTGAGAAAAGAAGATGAAACAATCCCTCAAGAAGGTACCATACCTATGTCTTCTTATACCTCTTGAACCGGAATATGACTATTAAACATTACCTTGTCCTCATAGATTGACCAGTTTGTGATCAATTCCGAGAGCATAGCACCGAGTAATCCAAACAAAGCGCCCGATGCTCCCACTGATATGCGCTCGCCTCGAATATCCATCAAGCAAGACACAATGCTTCCACCAATACCGGAAATCATGTACAATGTTCCTATTCTCACTGAAATCTCATAAATTTCTTAATTTTAGATTAAGAAAGTTTCAAGTAAAGGAGAAACAGAGTTTGAAGGGTTCTCTTACAGAACCCAAATTCTTGTTCGAGGCGCATTCCGATGCAAAGGAGGCTGATCATGTTGACAATCAAATGAAGGAGTCCTCCATGTAGCCATATGCAAGAGACTATCCGCCATTTATCACCAGCTTGAACTCGTCTCTTTTCAAGAGCTCCTAGTTTTCTTAGCCTAAACCGATCCAGATTCAGAGAAGTCTTTGTGTTCTTATAATTTAGTTCTTTAAGCTCCAAAAGACAAATTCTTACGTGGAAAGGGAAGGGCCAAGAAGAAGATTCTCCTTGAGGGGTTGAAAAGAAAGCCTTCCAAGGATATTGAATAAGACACAATCTTTCGATCTCGATGGACAATCGTTCACATACATTGTGCTGACAAATGTGACAAAGTTAGCTACCAAAATAAGCGGTACTAGCCACGCGTACCATGGCTCGGGAATTGGTAGAAGAAACTCCGGTCGTTGCAAGGGTGGTCCGTTCTCTATGTCCGGTAAGATCTGGGGTCGCTTCGCCATTCTACAAAACTGTGAAGCCTAGAGAAAGACTCGGAAGAAGTTGTTGCCAAATTTGGAGTAAAGTTTCTCTTTTTTCAAGCAGTTATGTTCGGTGAAGTAGTTTTTTGGTCCGAACCGAACCAAACCGGTTCCAATCATAAATTAAAATACACAAGTAAAGCTTGAATCAAGGTAGTGACACTAATTAATTTATCACCTTTTGAAGTCAATCATTAATTAACATAAAACATACATAACCAAAGAGATAAATGACGTTGATAATAAGGCATTGTAAACTCTGAGTCGTTTTCCTCCGCTTGCATAAACCCATAATGGTTCTTGTTGTATCGGTAGTGTATTTGGTTGCACTGATTGTGGCAACATACAAGTTTGTTCCGACGATTCGGGTACTGAAAACATATCAGTGGAAAGAGCTAAACACTCTAGACCTGGTACTGCAAGTGTGGACACACCTCTCACGTTTAAACACTGTCCTTGTGCGACTTGTCCTGATCCTGATGATGCTGTTTCTATTCTCACGTCTCGCATAAAAATCTCTGTGCATGGTACTCTCTCGCTGCACCGGAAGTCAACACCGTACTCTGACTTCGACGTCCCCACGAAATTACTATACACAACTTTGCTCACTTCCACGGCCGATGACTACAAAAAAAATGAAAATTAATTACATTTTTCTATCAATAGCAATCTTATATATGGTTCTAATCAAATCTAACCTTATCATCTTTGGTTTTATCAGAATCTCCGCCGTTGTAGTGTTGATCGATTATAATCGGATTTTCGACATTATCTAGCGTAATTCCATGGAAAGTAATCATTCTTGCGTAACCTGATCCTCCCTGTGATATTACAAGATTTTATTAAGGGGAAAAAAAAAACATTAGACAATGACTAAATGAGATTAAGGCTAGCAAAATTAAAGTACCGGCCAGGTTTTGATTCGAGCTCCATTAGTAGTTCCTCTAAAGTTACAGTTTTGGACACATACATTCTCCACTGAAGCAGTCTCTCCATCTTTTCCCAAGCTTCCTATGCTAAATATTTCACAAAAATACAGGGTTTCTATAATGAGATTTTAATTAACATTCTTTAGTAGATTCTTAATTACATTAATTGATTAACCTTATTCCATGGCCTGGTCCGCAATCTATACCGGAAATTCTGATATTAGCCGTCCCCGAGTTAATCGCAATGCAATCGTCACCTATAATCATTGCATAACGAATCGATGATTATGATCATTTCGAATGACATTATTGGATGTGACAGTTCGAGGGACCGTTTATGCTGACATGTAAAAATATTTGCATTCATACAGCATCCAGATTTTTTAAAATGATATTTTCTACTTTTTATTTGGAAGTTACACAAATATCCAAAAATAGTTTTGAGTTGAGTCAGTTTCATACCGGTGCCGATTACGCAATCCTGGATGATGACATTGGTTGAAGCAGCGATGTCGATTCCGTCAGTATTAGGACTTGATTCCGGCGCATTTATCCGGAGATTTGATATGGTTACACCGTTGCAACCGTTTATATGAATGTGAGCCATTGGACTATCTATGTGCGTTAATCCACTCAATCTAAGGTTGTTGCAGCTCTTGAACTTCAAGGCCTAATAATCTCATAAAAACGCAAAAAAAAAAAGAAGTAATGTTTTACTTTTAAGATTA